TTGGGATCACCAGGGAAAGATTCCAACTCATTCTCTGTGGGCTGTTCTCAAGCCACAACATTTCCTTTCAGTTTTATTAAATATATATAATAAACACAATTGCATATACAGTCAGGTCCATAAATATTGGGACATCGACACAATTCTAACATTTTTGGCTCTATACACCACCACAATGGATTTGAAATGAAACGAACAAGCTGTGCTTTAACTGCAGACTGTCAGCTTTAATTTGAGGGTATTTACATTCAAATCAGGTGAACGGTGTAGGAATTATAACAGTTTGCATATGTGCCTCCCACTTGATAAGGGACCAAAAGTAATGGGACAATTGGCTTCTCAGCTGTTCCATGGCCTGGTGTGTGTTATTCCCTCATTATCCCAATTACAATGAGCAGATAAAAGGTCCAGAGTTCATTTCAAGTGTGCTATTTGCATTTGGAATCTGTTGCTGTCAACTCTCAAGATGAGATCCAAAGAGCTGTCACTATCAGTGAAGCAAGCCATCATTAGGCTGAAAAAAAACAAAACAAACCCATCAGAGAGATAGCAAAAACATTAGGCGTGGCCAAAACAACTGTTTGGAACATTCTTAAAAAGAAGGAACGCACCGGTGAGCTCAGCAACACCAAAAGACCCGGAAGACCACGGAAAACAACTGTGGTGGATGACCGAAGAATTCTTTCCCTGGTGAAGAAAACACCCTTCACAACAGTTGGCCAGATCAAGAACACTCTCCAGGAGGTAGGTGTATGTGTGTCAAAGTCAACAATCAAGAGAAGACTTCACCAGAGTGAATACAGAGGGTTCACCACAAGATGTAAACCATTGGTGAGCCTCAAAAACAGGAAGGCCAGATTAGAGTTTGCCAAACGACATCTAAAAAAGCCTTCACAGTTCTGGAACAACATCCTATGGACAGATGAGACTGAGATCAACTTGTACCAGAGTGATGGGAAGAGAAGAGTATGGAGAAGGGAAGGAACTGCTCATGATCCTAAGCATACCACCTCATCAGTGAAGCATGGTGGTGGTAGTGTCATGGCGTGGGCATGTATGGCTGCCAATGGAACTGGTTCTCTTGTATTTATTGATGATGAGACTGCTGACAAAAGCAGCAGGATGAATTCTGAAGTGTTTGCGGGAATATTATCTGCTCATATTCAGCCAAATGCTTCAGAACACATTGGATGCCGCTTCACAGTGCAGATGGACAATAACCCAAAGCAGACTGCAAAAGCAACCAAAGTTTTTTAAGGGAAAGAAGTGGAATGTTATGCAATGGCCAAGTCAATCACCTGACCTGAATCTGATTGAGCATGCATTTCACTTGCTGAAGACAAAACTGAAGGGAAAATACCCCAAGAACAAGCAGGGACTGAAGACAGTTGCAGTAGAGGCCTGGCAGAGCATCACCAGGGATGAAACCCAGCGTCTGGTGATGTCTATGCATTCCAGACTTCAGGCTGTAATTGACTGCAAAGGATTTGCAACCAAGTATTAAAAAGTGAAAATTTGATTTATGATTATTATTCTGTCCCATTACTTTTGGTTCCTTAACAAGTGGGAGGCACATATGCAAACTGTTGTAATTCCTACACCGTTCACCTGATTTGGATGTAAATCCCCTCAAATTAAAGCTGACAGTCTGCAGTTAAAGCACATCTTGTTCGTTTCATTTCAAATCCATTGTGGTGGTGTATAGAGCCAAAAATATTAGAATTGTGTTGATGTCCCAATATTTATGGAACTGACTGTATAACAAGTATATCATACAGTCTCATTGGTATTTAGTGTCTCACTTCAAGAAAGACTATATTAGCTTATTAAAATATATTTTTTAAAGCTAAACTGCAGGCCATCAGCTAAATACATGGATGAAATATGTATATGGAAGATGTTTTACCTGCCAAAGGATTGGCTACGCAGTATAATCCTGTCTGGCAGGGTAGGAGACCTCATTTTTTTCAGCTGTAGCTAAGTTACACTTGTTGGTTCTGCCCCTCCTGCAGAATGTGACTTGATAGTAAAAGGAGAAGCAGCACACTGATAGGTTTACCTCTCTATCACTCCATGCTCACCTGCTATCAGAATATCCCTTGTTAGTTCAAGAGCATTAAATCAAATCTGATTGGTTCTTGTGCTGTTTTCCCTCTCCCAGTCTGAGCTTTGCAAAAAGGGCAGTGCAATAGGCAGATACCAGGTCAAATTAAGATACTAACGAAGCTTGCATTAAAAATATTTGAAGTGGAACTAAAGTCAGCAAATAGTTACTTCTCCTGCAACAGTCTGAGGTACCTCGCTGGTGCTCGTATCTTCTCTCTGGCTTATTCCAGGTGCTGGGCTGCAGACCATCTTTATTGGCTGGCTTTATTGGGATGCTGTTACACAGAATCTGTGTTGTAATGTACATTTGTAAAGAAAGCTGCAAGCAGGCAGACAGGCAGGTTTATTTAATTGCAGAAGAGGTCTTATCTTTTGCAATAAAAAGATTAACCTGCCTGGTTTTGGGTTTTTAATTGAAGACTTTATTTTCACTTTAATAATGGATTCATAATTACAGTGCTACAATAATTTGTGTCTTTTAAATCTGCCTGGAGTTCAGTTTTAAAGTGTATCTAAGCCCAAGTACAAAAATGTAATATATTGCAGTTTACCCATGCTTAGATATATGGCTACATTTATTTTCTTTTTTCCGTCTAAGAATATTTTCAGCTAGAAACCTTCCCAGAAACTTTCTTTGTCCTTGTAACATCCTGTGTACTGAGATTACATCTTGAATAGTGCTATCTGCTTATCTTCTGTGAACTACAAAACCCATTCCTATCTATCTGAAATCTGGAGTCTAGGTTGACTGCTCTGCTTCTCCATTCAAATAGTATGGTGAGAAAGCATTTTAACCCAAGGATAGGAATTGTGTTACAGCTAAAAATAAAGAAAAATAGGCCTGAAAAAATAAAACTAATGCAGCCACCACATCTAACAACTCCTAAGCTGCCATACATTTACATATTTGCATTTGGTTTTAAATAAGCTTTCACTTTTTAGGTAAATAAAACCATAAGATATTCAGGATGCCCAACTGGTGCCACTCCTGAAATACCACGTCACCTGGAATGTACCACTGGGTAGGCCTGGAAGCAATAGACTTGGACCCCTCCTGATTAATAATGTTCTCTGCCTTTCTTCGAGGGAACGGGGTGGGAACACGAACCTAGTAGCTCAACATTCCTTAACCCTGAGGGAGAGATTTCAACAGGTATTGGACCTACTTTCACCACACAATCTGATGGTTTTGTTTATGCATAATGTGTCTTTCTATCCCACTCTTGCTTGTCCTGCTTCATTTCACCTTTACCAACAAACCAACCTAAGGAGATTTCCATGCATAGTCACCACCTCAGGTTTTAAAACTTCCCCTGAAATAAAGGAAAATTTACAAACTCCCTAGATTGAAGCAGTTTTGTTACTTGCAGGTTAGACATTTCTTTCAGGTGAACTTACAAGCCAATGAAGAGCCCACCAGAAGGTTTCCATTTGAACAATGTCTGCTCCTCTGATCCTCATGCTAAGGGCATGATCTAACACAACTCTTTGGGAGTCCAACTACCTCTCCCCGACATATATTGTATGTTGCTTGTTGAGTAGTGAACCTATCAAAAACCTGACATCTGAAGATTGGTCTGATGTTTCGGCAGCCACTTACAAATCTTCACAAAATATAGCAGCCCAGGAAACTAACTACAAAGTGTTGGCAAGATGATATCTTGTCCTTTTGAGAATAGTGGAGTATGTCCTGGGCTACCCTTACTTTTGATTCTGAGGCTGTGGGGAACATATTAGCATGTTTGCTGGACCTACCCTCTGGTTGGTTTGTTCTGGTCAGAGATTTTTTTACATCCTTAGTTGCCTTTTTGATGCAGCCCTTCAACCTGATCCTCAGATTTCTCTGCTGAATCAAAACTTCCCGGAATTTACCATAACGTGGTTTAAACTTTTGCTCCAAGATACAATGGCAGCAAAGCAGACTATAGCACAGTCTTGGAAAACATCTGCCCTCTGTGTCTTGGCTGTGAAACACAGAGTAACACAAGCAATGATAAATGGTAAGATTGACGCCACCCACACTTAAAGCTTTGGCAACCTTGGATTGATAAATGTTTACCATCTGATGTTGACGCCACTTACCTCTACTTCTGAGTGAGATACATCGGCGCAACCTGCAGAATCCTTCATCCCCCTTTTTCCCCCTTTCTTCTTTCCCTGTCTTTCACTCTGAAACTACCTGGTGAATATCTGCCTCAAGTAAGCCCTGAACTATGGCTGGGATATGGCTGAATAACACTTTGCAATTGTGATGATTGTGCGAAATAGAGACATGGACACTGACAGCCACCTTGTTAGCTCGCTGCCATGCTGTCTCTCCTGTCCTCCCTCCTCCCTTTTGACTGGAATGTGAGGCTGTAAGTAAACAGAGTTCAAAAGTGCCTCTTATCTAAAACACAGCTACATGAGCTCCATGGCTTTAAACCACTAATTAGTCTGGTCCCAGGGGATCTTCTTTGAAAAACCACTTTCCTCTGCCCGATCGTAAAACAATAACTCAGTCAGTCATGACCTGTTAGGCCATTAGGGCTAAAGCATGCCATAAAACATACATTCCACATGAGTCATTTTTCATACAAATTCATACACTTCAGCAGGAACTGGGCACATTAATATGAAGTACATATTCAGATAGGTCATTTTAATATGAGTCAAACAAGACCTTGCATGACTATATCAGTACATACAAAAGAAAATGAAGCAGTGTCTTTTATCCGGAGTGGCAAAGATATGCTAAGTTTGGTATCTGTGCAGTTATAATTAGAGATGAGCGAAGTATTCAAAAATTCGATTCGACTGATTCGGCGAATTCGTGGAAAAAATTTTGATTCGAGTCGAATATATTCGCTGCGAATTTAACTTATAAAAGGGTGTTTCTAGGCTTCAGAGAGCCTTTATATTAGTGAAGAACACTGTACCTTTAATTTAAATGCCCTTGGAGTCTGCTGGGGAAGAGAAATAATACTGACAGTCAGTATGACATGCAGATGAGTGCCGTCGATCTTAGAATCACCGCACACTTCACTCATTTGGGCAGTCACGGGGCCAAAACCAGAGTGTGGAGCCACAGTGTGGCGGTGGAGGCAGCAGCAATGGGAGGCCATACAGCACCCTATGACAAAAATGGAAACCACCAGCAGTGTGAGGAGACCTGAAAGTGGCACATGGCAGAGTGTGGCGATGGAGACAGCAGCAATGGGAGGCCGTACAGGGACCCATGACACACTCTGGACCTGGCAGCAGCAGCATGAGGAGGCGGTACAGGGGCCCATGACAGATTACGGGCCTGGCAGCAGCATGAGGAGTTGGTACGGGGGCCCATGGCAGATTACGGGCCTGGCAGCAGCAATGGGAGGCCGTACAGGGACCCATGACACACTCTGGACCTGGCAACAGCATGAGGAGGCGGTACAGGGGTGCGCATGACAGATTACGAGCCTGGCAGCAGCAACTTGGACAGGAGGACGTTCAAAGCAGCTTCTGCACCGTCGGGTGCGTGCTCGCAAACTGTTGTCTCTTGGAAACGGATTCCAAGAAAGACTGCTGACGGAATCGTGAAGAGGGAGTAGCAGGAGAAGGAGCATCTGAACGAGCGGAATATGCCAACAAGGGACAAACAGGGGCCCATGACAGATTACGGGCCTGGCAGCAGTCATGAGGAGTCGGTACGGGGGGCCCATGGCAGATTACGGATTCAGCAGCAATGGGGGGCCTGTAATCTGCCAGCAACAGCACCCTGACAACAAAAATGAACACGTGAACAGACCAGCAGTATGTGAGGCAGGACCTGAAAGGCAAAGCAGATGTGAACGATGGAATAGCCAACAATGCGACAACAGGGGACCCATGACAGATTACTCCTGGGACCTGGCAGCAGCATGAGGAGGTCGGTACGGGGGCCCATGGCAGATTACGGGCCTGGCAGCAGCAATGGGAGGCCCGTAATCTGCCAGCACCCTATGACAAAAAATGGAACACACCAGCAGTGTGTGAGGAGACCTGAAAGTGGCACATGGCAGAGTGTGGCGATGGAGACAGCAGCAATGGGAGGCCCGTACAGGGACCCATGAAAGACTCTGGACCTGGCAGCAGCATGAGGAGGTGGGTAAGGGGCCCATGGCAGATTAGGGGCCTGGCAGCAGCTATGGGAGGCCCGTAATCTGCCAGCACCCTATGACAAAAAATGGAACACACCAGCAGTGTGAGGAGACCTGAAAGTGGCACATGGCAGAGTGTGGCGATGGAGACAGCAGCAATGGGAGGCCGTACAGGGACCCATGAGAGACTCTGGACCTGGCAGCAGCATGAGGAGGCGGTACTGGGGCCCATGGCAGATTACGGGCCTGGCAGCAGCAATGGGGGAGGCCGTAATCTGCCAGCACCCTATGACAAAAAATGGAACACACCAGCAGTGTGTGAGAGGAGACCTGAAAGTGGCACATGGCAGAGTGTGGCGATGGAGACAGCAGCAATGGGAGGCGGTTCAGGGACCCATGAGACACTGTGGACCTGGCAGCAGCATGAGGAGGCTGGTTGGGGTACAGGGGCCCATGGCAGATTAAGGCCTGGCAGCAGCAATGGGAGGCCCGTAATCTGCCAGCACCCTATGACAAAATGGAACCCTGGGCTGGGGCAGGCAGAACCGCCGTATCTTTATCACGGTTTTTGTTTTTTCCCAGGCCACCGAATGGCGACGCTGCATATGCTGACGCAACGCTGTAGTCCCAACATGGGCCCCCTGGCCACGCTTGAATTTCTGGCCACATAGTCGACAAACTTGGCCTGGCGAGCATGAGGGGGGGGTACGGGGCCCCATGGAATTCGGGCCCCGGCAGAGCAAAGGGAGGCCCCCAAACTGCCCCGCACCCTATGACAAAAAATGGAAAAAAACCCCCGTGGGGAGGAGACCCGAAAAATGGGACAGGCAGGTGTGGCGATGGAGACAGCAGCAATGGGAGGCTTAGGGCCCCTGAGAATTGGACCTGGGAGCAGCATGAGGGGCGGGGTACAGGGGCCCATGGAGTTTTTAAAGGCCTGGCAGCAGCAAAGGGAGGCCCCCTAAACGCCCGCACCCTATGACAAAATGGAAAACCCCGGGGCTGGGGCAGGCGAAAACCCCGTTCTTTATCGGTTTTCCCAGGCCACCGAATGGCGACGCTGCTATGCGGGCGCAACGCTGTGTCCAACATGGGCCCCCTGGCCACGCTTGAATTTTGGCCCA